CCCCCGCCGTCTGGCCCCAGCGCGCCGGCTTTGCTGTGCTGCCGATGGAGCTGGCCGGGCGAGCTGCGCTGAGGAATGCTCCGGGGAAGAAATCTGCTCCGACACGTTCCCCGAAGCTGCCTGGCTGAGAGTGAAGCAATCATAGGCGCCCGAGCGCCGGGCCGCCGGCTGGGCTCGAGTCGGTAGCTCGCCTCCTCCTCCCCCAGCCGGCTCCAGTCTCACGCGTGGCTCCCGGCGAAGCCCGCTTCCGGCTGGGAATGGGGGTGGGGTGGGCCTCGAGTGCCTTGGAATCCACAACCACCAGCCCCAAACCCTCAACCCACCGAATAACTGAGGGGAAAAATAAGAACCTCCAAACATTTTCTTTGCCAGAATTCCCAAGATCGTTCAGGCGCTAGACAGTTTATTTTTTTTAAATAGTAGTCTGATTTGCCAGGGTCTACAGAAATGTAGGATACTTCCTTTTTTCTTTTCTTTTTTCCTTGATGTATTTTTAAAATTTGGTCATGAATTTCCCGATTGTTAAAGGAGCAAAGAGCTAAAGTCTCTTTCGGGAGAGTGTGTAGAGAAGGGAGTTTGCATCCCTCTCCTGGAATATAAATTTTATTTTCCTCTCTGGTATACTGAGCTCAAATCCTGTGGATATTTCCACTGCTAATTCCCCCAAATGTGGGAGGAAAAGAGTTATCCACGCCTCAGACACAGGAAGAAGGGGGTAAGGATGAGAGATATGGGTGAGGAATACCTGTTTTGGAAGGATCTGGGTTCCAGGCCTAGGGTGGGAACCCCTCAGTTTTGTCTGGCTATGTGTGGGGGCTAAGGGATGGAATTCACTATTGTCCCATTCCTTCTCCAACTGAGGCTCTCTCTAAACAGGAGGGGATGTTGCAACCCACCCCAAGGGGGAAAGACTAGTCCCAGGTTCCTAAAAACCATACCAGGAGCTTTGAATTCAGCATTGCACTGAGAAATCAGGATTTGGGGTCTAATAAATCCAGAGCTTCAGTCTCCTCTGGCTGTAAGTAGAGCTCAGTGGGAGAAGGATGATTGGCTCTCTTCTGGTGTCCACAGGGGTCCTGTGGGGCCCAGAGCAGCCACAGATGTCTCCCCATACTGCCCGGAGGGTCCCCCAGCTCTGCATATGGACCCAAGGACATTTTCATTGGGAAGTATAGAACTGAAGACCTCTTAAGGGTGGGCCTGAAATTCCTCTGCATCCAGGACTGGGGCAAGGGCAGATAGTGAAAATATCACTGAATGATGTTAGAAAGTGTAGCAAATAACATTCTTGTAAATATTATGAGAATACTCAATATAACACAACTGAATATCAGGTGGGAGCCACCCTAGGCACCCCATTTCTGGCTGCAAGGAGATTTAAGGATGATATAACTTTAGTGCATGGTATCATGCATTACCTATTTGGCATTGCCTATGATATTTTTATATAATATGATTTCTGTTATTAACCACCTAATATAAAACACACAATAATACATTTCTAGAATATAGGTGATTCACATGTAGGGAGATGGCCCTGTAAGTCCCCATTTCACCCCAACAGAAAGCTACTTACAAGTTGAGTATTTAGCAGGAATTCTTGGAGCAGGGGGAGCCAATAGGCCATCCTAAAGGGCCAAAAGCAGAGGAGCATATGCCCACCAGGTCTACTGTGGGCAGAGATGCAGGTCCAGAGCAATGGGCGATGGATTTAATGTGAAGAAGTGAAAAGAGAAAGCTGCTCTGGCATCCCTGTGTATGCATGTGGAGTGGAGTAGGGGTGAAGGGTTAGCGAGAAGCTCAGAAACATCTTTAAACAAAATACACATTTTGAAGATTCCTAGGCGCACACACACGCGCGCGCACACACACACACACGCTAAAAATAATCACTTTGTAATCACAGCCTCCTAGAGAAAAATAGCTTTGAAATAAAAAAAATAGATAGCCCAGCTGAGATTTAACACACTTGCAAATTATGGCATGCAAATTACGGCATGGAAATGGATATAAAACCCAGTGTGTCTCAGCTCAAAACACTCCCTGTGTGGAAATAGAATCAGGCTGGTGTATCATAGTGAGTGCAGAAGTCCAGGCAAAAGGCAGATGAAAAAGAAATGATCTTCAGACACCCTCCATCTTTCTGCCCACACAGAGATCTTTTAGAAGTAGTGAGATTTCCAGATAACTCTGTCTATGCAATTGTGGTTTGTTCGGCAGCATCTAGGCATAAACACTACTGTCTCTCTTCAGCGCCTCTGGCTCTGACAAACCTCATCTATGGCAGTCTGGGCTGGTGTGGGAGACGGAGCAATTGTTCAGAAAGATCCAAATAATTAGGGCCAAGATGTGTTGTGGCTTCTTCCTTCCCCCAATTATACAGACCCTTGCCTCATTGCTCTTTTTTTTCTTCCAATGGTAAGTGTAGACTTTTTTTTTTTTTTTTGACAGAGAGAGGCAGAAATTCCAAAAGAAAATCTGCAAAGAAAGGGGCGGGGAGAAACAGAGAGAGACAGAGACAAACAGACAGAAACAGATAGGATTAGGGGAGAGAGCCAAAGAGAAAAACATTTAGTGGGTCCTTTGGACCGTACTGAAAGTACCTACTGGGGAGCCTTTGGATTTTGGTTGAGGAGAGCAGCTAGGATTTCCAGCTGGGCAAGGTCCTCTTCAGAGCCCTGTTGTGGCAGTGGGTGGGCAAGAGCGAGGGAACAGAGGGAGCAGTAGGAACCTGTACACGGAGCCCCAAGAGAAAGCTATGGCTGAGCATTGATCTGATTTTTATTTGCTCCTCAAAGGTGTCTATTAGGTTCCCAGGTATGAAGTGGTTTGGGTGTGTGTATGCTCTGGAGGGAGATTAGGGAAGGGTTGATTGTAAAATTAATTAGCCAACTCCCCTACTTACTTTAGGCAGTATAGACACGACTGCAGGTCTAAGCTCCCAGATATTTCCACATCTGTAGATCCCACTTCCTTTTCAGACAAGACAACAGACAATGAAGTGGAGCGTCTGTTGGAAGGCAAGACTGAAGATATTTCCCCAGGAGGCCTTAAAAAAACACAGCAGTTTGGTCTGACCCATGAAAAACTTGGCCAAATCAATCCTTGGTACTCCACAAAGAAAAATAGTCAGTTTAGATCAATTGTGTTTTCAAAATGATATTTTTAGGGTTGCATTGATTAAACATCATTGGAAAATTAGAGTTGGGGCTTAGGGGACCCAAAATTGGGTAGGTAATTGTGAGCATTTACAGAAAGTGAGGCAAAAAACAAAGGACAATTATTTGGTTAATTCAGGAATCAAATCCCACTTTTATTCTATTTTGCTCTCCAGGGAAATGGAGGTATTTTAAAGCTGGATTGTGCCAGGTGGCCTATTTCCACTTGAGAACCTCCTGTGTTGTTATGTTGAGTCCAAAAACCTGGGTTTAAAATCTGGCTCTGCCACTTAAGTTATTTTACCCACTCAGAGCCTCAAATTCTCATCTTGTAAATGGGTTTAATAAAATAAGCCTGCAAAATGTTCTGAGGATTAAAACAAACAAAAAGAAAACTTCACTGTGTCTTCATGATATCATTACTTACCTTCTCTATTTTATTCTTGTCCCAGAATCATCACTTTCCTGAATCATAGTTACATCTGTAAGAGTAAAACAAATTTGAGAACTCAGAGGTTTTTGTTTTTTAATTATTTTTAACCTAAAAGATCTGCTCTGTTAAAGTGAAGTTGTTTTGTTTTTCAGATTTTTATAAAACCTTGGCCTATTCATACATAGGCAGAGAAAAGTGACAAGTCCAACAATTTTCCTGAGAAATTGCCATCATGAAGACAGCCAAACCAGGCCATTGGAACCCCTCTCTCCCATATTCTTCCTGAGCACTTTATTTCCTCCCTGCATTGGATTGCAACCTCTTCTCCCCCCTTCCTGTATAGACAGGGTCTCCGAGAGAGCAGACCCAGCAGGAATGGGTGTAGGGAAGGTGTTTTATGAGGGCGGGGTGAGAACAGCATTTCAGGCAGAGCTTTGTGTCTTCATTCTGGACTGTGTCTACACTTTCAAAGGGCAGAGAATGAAGGGGAAACCCCAAATATTGTCTTCTTCATTAGCTTCTGCCTGAAGAAGTCTAATGATTACATTTTAAAAATCGAGGGATCACTTATTTTATATAATCTCCCTAGTTTCCCACTTCCCCTTGAAAGTGTGCTATGACCTTTTTATTGACAGAGACAAGGGTGGAGTGAAAGAGGGATATAAGTGACATTTATTGTTTTTAGTTTCTGTGAATTTTTCAGAATATAAAGAAATTGGACTACTAGTAGTTAGAATGAAAAAGTTAGAATGACAGTGTTCGTTGGCTTTGGAAGAATGGAGAGGAGAGGGGGCTGGAGCAGAGCAGAATTTGCTCTGTTTTGTGGGGGGAGGGGGCATTCAGCTCTTTTTATAGACTTATGTGAATAGCTAGTTTTACCCCCAAGAAGGGCTCTCCTGGTACCTTCTCTGGTGGACAGACCCTGGAGCACGGACCCTTTACTTCCAAGGACCAACTCTAGTCTCAGGGCCAGGGCCTCCTACCATGGATGTGGTTAAGCACCTCCCAACATTGGACTCCTAGAGTGATGGGCTCCCGCACAGGCTGGCTTCACTTGGACACTTTTCTTCTGTCTATTGGTGCAGGCCTCAGGGCCCTAGTACAGAGCTGGTGACCAAAGGCGTGAGCACCCACTTGGTGGTCTGTGCCCCCTGACGCTATCTCCCTGCATGCCATGTCCTCCCTCAAACCTACAGCAGAACACCTTCCTCTCATCCTGGAGCAGGGTATAATCTGCTGGCTGCCCGAATGATTTAACTGCAGGAAGGCCTGCAGACCAGAGTGAAATTTGAAGGGAGCCCTCTAAGGGCACAAGATTCTAGTGACGTGTTGTGCCGAGCCACAGTGAAGCCCAAGGCAAAAGGAAAAATCAGTAATACTGTCCCCGTGGTTATTTAAAAAATTGATATTTTGTTCATCGTGGATTTTTTGCATTCATTTTGATTTTTTAAAACATTATATTCAAGTATTATTTATCTGGATTACTGAGTTTTTGGCGTCCCCTCCTTTAAAGTTTGAACCAGAGGAAACACCCCAGTGGCTCACCTTAGTCGCGGCCTTGCTAATAATGGGGATGCAAAGGATTTGGCGGCCGCCGGCGGGGCCCCTTTGAGTCGCTGCGACAACCTTGCGCCTCCGCCGCGGCGCAGCCTCGGTGCCCGCAGCGCGGTGCGGGGTCCCGCCGCGACTCACTTGCCGCCCACCTGCCCTCTCTCCCCCCCAGACGTGGTTCCCCTACAGCCCGAGGTGAGCAGCTACCGGCGCGGGCGCAAGAAACGCGTGCCCTACACCAAGGTGCAGCTGAAGGAGTTAGAGAAGGAGTACGCGGCCAGCAAGTTCATCACCAAAGAGAAGCGCCGGCGCATCTCCGCCACCACGAACCTCTCCGAGCGCCAGGTCACCATCTGGTTCCAGAACCGGCGAGTCAAAGAGAAGAAGGTGGTCAGCAAATCGAAAGCGCCTCATCTCCACTCCACCTGACCGCCTACCCGGCCACCTTCCCCCTCTATTTATGTCGCCGCTTTGTACCATAACCGAACCCACCGAAGGACCCTTCGCCGGTGCAGACGAATATTTAATGCTAACAAGAGAGAGGGACCGCGGCGGGGAGGCAGAGAGTGTCGGGGGCGGGGCGCTCTGCCGCCTCCTGCTCCCCACCCTATCCTCACCCCCCACCCCCATCCAGATGGGACCTGCTGGGTCTCAGCGGCTTTGGAGGTGGGTCCTGGAGGGCTGTGGGAAGCAGGCTGCTGGCCCCCCACTCCCCCTCATCCCTCTCCTTGCCAGAAAGCCCAGTGGCAGCGAAGAGCCCGGTCATTCCAACCAAAGCAGGGTTGGAGAACCCCCAGTAACCCCATTCTTGCCTCTTCCTTTGCCGAGCAGGTAGACGACCCCCCTGAGGGTGCGATCTCGGTACAGGACCTGGTGAGCTTATAATTTCCTCCCAGTTCCTCCCCCTACTCCCTGTCCCTACTACACTCCTTAGTTAGGTAAGAATTCCCATGTAAGATTTTCTGTGCACATTTTAAAAGTCGCGTTAATATTAACGATAATTATTAGGGGTCTGGCACCGTGATTGGAATGCAGGCAGCGCATAGGTTTTCTTTCTTTTCTCTCTGTTTCAACCAAAGCTGGAATTGGCCTGAGAGACACCTACACGCGCCC